AAGAGAATAAGAAAGAGAAAGAGCACAGTGAATGGATGCGTTCAGACTGTATCCTTTTCGTTACGTTCCTTTCTTTCTTTCTTTCAGAATTGAAGGACCAGCCTGGAAGTGATCGATTGAATAGGGTGTGGGAAATATAGCGGGAATGCCAGTAGGTTGCTGGGAAAGGTTAATCGAGCAGCGGGCGGCGGAAGAGAGAATCTAATTGAGGGCGATCGGCTGGAGAGCAGCCGTAGTGCAGCAGCGCAGGAGCAGCAGCAGCAGAGCCTGAGCCAGAGGCCAGGGGGGCGAGAGGGGGGAGGGGGGTGTTCCCGCTACTGTAATCCCGCCGGCCAACGGCGGTAACTGCTGTCGAAACGGGCACGGCCGGCACAGCGGCAGTCGCTGCAGTCACTGCACTTGACTATGCACTATGTTGCACCGGGGTAGGAACTAACTACGTGACGATTTACTCACAACCAACTTGCGCCGCAGCTTGAAGACTTCACAACCTGAGAATATTATCTCGTCAGCGATAATAGTACCTCAAATGAAGAAACATGTTTTCAGCAGGCTCACTATCTTGAACAGAGTCTCGAAACAAAAGCCGAGGACAAAGACCGTTCCTATCAATAAGGACTCAGCAGCTGAAACGGGTGATCAAACTGAAGACAATATAGAAACAAAAAAAGGGCCAATGCTTGGAGGGAAGGGCGGATCAGACTTGAAAGGGGGAAACTCAGACAGCATCATTTAGTGAAGGGTCCCCAACACGTTCCGAGTCAGCGCAGTCACTCTACTCTACTTTCATCTTACAGGTGGAAGAGACATACTCCTTCACGGCTTCCATCTAACCCAGTCAGTCCCGAATAGATGACAGGTAGTTTGGCACTAGGTCTGGTATTATAGACTATTCTTGGCCGGCTTAGCACTAAAAGGGTCTCATTGTTCTACTGCAGCGCCCGTTGAACTGCAGCAGGGGCAGAGGCTGCTGCTGCTGCTGCATCCTCCGGTAATGGAAACCCGGTGGACTCTGATTCATAGTGAGGTATGTTCCTAATTCTTTCATTATAATGCTAGTATATTCTTGCTCTCGGCATATATATCATCATTCCTCAGGCACACAATTTATCACCTCTTCAAGGCGAGCGCTTTCTCCCTCACTCGTATATATTACTTTCTCTGTCTTGCGCATTTGTTCATCACCCCAAGAACCAACCAACCTCAACTGCCGCAATCAATGCGGCAAAGTCCTGCGAATCCCTGGCGCGGAGCTCCCTCCACCCTGTCACATTCAATAGACATGCATTTCTCCGCGACTTGCATACATTGGTTGGCATGGATAAATGTCCTGCCCCATGCCTTCAGCCCCAGCGAATCCTCCCACAAAACCCACTTTGAGATAGGAGTGATCAGAGGAAGGATTAGCTTTATTGAAACCAGACGCGCCTATCCCAACACACCTGTCGAATCGAGGGATCTAGATGGAAGCTACGATCCTCTCGCCAGCTTAATCAGCGATTTTTTGTGTCGATCATCGGGTGTGCTATTGAACTCCTGTTCCGCAGCAGAAAAGGCATCAAGAACAATCACCTCCCCCCTCCCCCAAGCCAGCTATTGGAAGAAGAGTACGGAGTCCCCGTAGTAGATAGAACCAACAAACCCTTCAGCGCCGCCAACGCCGCCTCCGCCGCCGCCGCCGTTGTTTTTGCATTCCTCCTTTCTAGATCCCTGCTTTCATTCCAGTCATTGAATGCCCACTCAACTTTTTTTTTCTTCTTCTATTATGAGAAAGCGAGAAACCTTCCCCCCCCCCTTTTTTTTTTCCCTCTCGCCTGCCCCGCGTTTCCCGGGAAGTGACTTGTCTCGGCCCTGGGTCCGAACCAATGCGGCACGTGTGACGGGGCGCCGTGACCGGCTGGTTAATAAAGTATTTCAGGCCCAGCTTTGGCCCACCTGGTTCCCTCTGGCTGACTGGAGTCTCAGTGCTTCACGACGGGCAGCCTGGGAAACGGACTACTCACTATTATTGGTAACGCTAAATTGTGTTCATCGTCGTTACTGTCGAGGCGCTGGAGGGGGCACAACTGCTCCTCATCTCCGAGACATATAATCTATACTACATCCGATAACCTATACAGCGCACCACCAGTTGACCAGGACTAAACATGCACCCCAGCTTCGAGGTCAGTGATTGTCAACCGCACAACCAAACCCAAGATCGCTATTCTAGGGGAACCCCGGATTTCCAAACCGGTTCCAACAATGGTCGAGTTCCAGGGCCCAATCCAGTCAAGAGGAACCGGTCCCAACCTTTCCGACCCCCCTCAAAGGCAGTCAAGCACTGAGTCTACCTAGTAGTACATTGTTTCTCTCCCACCGGCTCCAACATGTCATATTGCTGAGCACATGGCCGGAACATGGTTCGGAACCATGGGCTTAGGGGAGTTGACCCTGTAGCCCTTAACCCGATCCAGCGTGATGAAAGGAACGGAATTCTATAAAGGAGGTTAATCGACCAACCGGGGATCCGAATTATAGGGTGCGTTAGGTGGTTCTAGCACAAGTATGTCGAGTACAAAGAAGATGAGGCCTTCCCCCCCGGTGAAATGTTTCTGCGCGATTGATCCATCGAAAGGCTGAGAACCAGACTGTCGGAGACCGTTGCTGATATGTAACTAAATCATCACTGGTCTCAAAGTTCACTATGACAGTATAAAATACCACTCGAATACTTGAAAAGGATACGAGGTATGTAGTTACACCAGTATTGTTAGTAAGAAATGCAGGCAGCCTCTAGAAGGGTTCACCCTGCCCACGAACCCGAGGGATTCTCAGCCACAGAGGTCATTGTTTCTGCAAGTAAGCATGGCCGGGGGGTGATGAAAAAGTCACGTATTGCGGATGGGGGGTTTCAACGTGACAGGGCGGCGGCAAGGTGAAGTATAAGGTAAAGTGTGTAGCAGTGGACCGGGTCGCTGCATTCAAGCAATGCATCGAAGTACAGTACTGTACGGAATACTGTAGAACAATATGTCTCTCTCTCTCTCTCTCTCTCTCCGCTGGCTCGCGGATTCAATATCCTGAGACAATCGGGGCTCTCACACCCAATACCCGCTGGCCTGCCGCTAAATGAAACAAAAATAAGAAAAAGTCGAGCGTGGGATCTGAAAATCAACCAGATGAGGGAGAGAGAGAGAGACAAGGCTGCATGGGCTTATTCGACTGTTCGCAGAAATCCCATCCCCATCCCCATCCCCATCCCACCTCCGGGGGTTATCACTTGCAGACAGACAGGCAGACAGCCTGCGTGATAGCCCATCTGATCCCTCCACAAACTTGACTTCTGCCTCCTTCGGAAAGGGCATACACGGTCATTCCAAGCCACTGGAAGCACGATGACGATGCATAAGAAGGCCCCCCAATCTTGTGATTCGGGACTTCTTTTCCCCTCCTTCGCTTCTTTTCTTCCCCTCATCCCCCCCCTCCACCCCTCCCTTTCCTCAATTTGGACATTTCTGCCCTCTCCCCAAGAGAAGTTGCAGGAAAGGATTTGAGTGTTAGTATATTCATCACGGTCTCTCCCACCTTGTCCAGCGTTGTTGCTCCCCTCCCCTCGTCCCGGCCATTCTCCGGAGCCACGCAGTCTGGCAATCTATCCCAGACTACATTAGCACGAGCTGTGTCGCCGCCTACAGTCCGGAAGGTGTATGGACAAGTAAGGTAGATCATGGATCTTCCGCAATAACAGGCAGTTAATGGTTGTCGAGACACGAGCAGGAGGTTAGCCTTGTAGTTGTCCACGGTTGTCGTACTCGAGTAGATGCCCCTCGAAAAGAAGCAGGAACAAGCATCTTGAAGAGGATCCACACGCAACAACAACCCACTATTCGGGAAAATATATGGTTGGCATCAGTTTTCAAATGCTACATTGCAACAAACAATGAGAATAAGACCCCAAAATACGGAGTGCTGACTGAGTACACAAGGTGAGGACCCAGAGGAACAGTCATGACTCGATCATCTACTACTTCCGTACTGTTTGCCGCTGCCGCGAAGAAGTTACCCGCAAGGAGGAGCAGCCCAAAGAGGGTTAGCCAGCCAGCCAGCCAGCATCCATCACCCATCGTCCAGACCAGGGCTAATTTAAATCACCACGAGGAAGATATGATTTGAGGTCCGTTCAACGATGGCTTGGCGCAATCATCCAGCCGGAATCAGCAGGGAAATGCCGAAGGGCAAGACAAGCATAAGTTGTCGAGCAAGTGCCCAGCGTACGTAGTACTGTACTAATTGACCAGATCATTCAAGGTTTCTATCTCACGTATGATTCTCGCTCCCCCGGTGGTATTGTACAGTCCTGGATCAGAACCATGATCATGGTCTCTGCCCGTGCCCAGACTTCGAAGTGGTAGGTGTGGTACGATGATGATACTACTGCTGCCATCTAGACCTGCTCCAGGGGTGCGGGAAAGGGGGCCTGCACGGGTAGTAATTCGCGTTTGGAACTATCTGGATTAAAGTAGGGGCCAGATGGGTTTGAGAGGTTGGGACGATAATAGATTCCTATTGAAGGCTTTGTATCTCTGATTGATGTTAGTCTGCTTCCTGCTCTCTTCGGTGACACCATATTGAGGTTGTCAACAGCGCATGCTGGGTTCTCCCATCATCCAAGTAAATGAGCAAGAGGAGGAGGGAGGGTGGGACAGCTCTGCAAAAAAAAAAGGTTGACGGGCCGACGCTAAGAGAGAGACACAGGATTGATTACAAGGCCGCGCTGCCCAGTGCTTTTTGATTCTGGCAAGTTGCTTGCCTCCCCTCATCTCTTCCCGGCTCCCGGCTACTCTACTAGTCTCTGTCTGTACTTGGAGCAAGTCAGTCAGTCAGTCAGAGGGCAAACTCCGTGCATACGCCATTGTGCATTGGACTGATTCTCGGAAAATCAGGGTTTCTGTTCGGATGCGATGCGATGCGACAGGGGAGATGGATTGTTCCAATCCCCATGATTTTTCATGATTTTTCATTCACTTTCGAGACAGCAGCAGTTCATGGTGCTTAATTTAGACTGTAGCGATGAACAACTCGCTGGTATTCTGGGATTTGTGTTGAGCAACTCTGGCTGGCAGTAATCAAGTGCAAGCAATCAATTGCTGACTTGCATCCAAGGACCACCCAGGTGATGATGGGATGGGCTGCTGACCGGTCGAACACAAGCCCCATGTCGGATAGTCTCAACCTACTGCGTGTGCGTGCGTATCGTATTGGAGATTACATGTGGGACCCCCTAATCAGGTCATTATCGTACGGATACTTGCCTGTCACCGATGAAACACCTTGACACGGTGGGATCTGATAACCTTCTATATCATGGGAACTTTTGGTTTGTTTGATATAGAGTCAGGAATGAATTAAGGATGAGATGGCATGGATATGGAGAGTCGAGTCGCGAGTGAAGTAACCTATACTTAGTTGTGAAGAGGGAAGAGAGAGCCAGAGAGAGAAGAAATTTCTCGGATCGGGAAGGAAACCAGTGATTCAACAACCCGAATCTCCTCTACCAACCACATCCATTCAAATCCATCCGATGCCCACCCTTTTTTTATTTTTTTCCTTTTTATTTTTATTTTTATTTTTTCCTTACTCCGTACTCCACGGAGACACCGGCGGTCTTCACAAACAAGTAAGAGAAACGAAATCAAAAGCAAGATGAGAATGGTGCAGATGATATGCTCTCATCAGATTTCGTTTTCTGATATATTTCTTCTTGTCATGCAGTGCGCCTGTCCTGGCAGAAAGGAAAATGTGATATTGACAGACGTCTAGACATACGGTGCTGTACTTACTGGAAAAAGTACTCCGTCAGTGACCGAGTTCTCGGCTTGATTTTGGAGTTATGTTTTCAATCTCTCTCGTCTTTGGTGTATAATCATTACCTACCAGTATTAGTAGTGGAATTTATTATTATTTTGGCTACAGCGGAGAAAAGTCCTGCTGCTTGTTGCTGCTGTTGCTGCCGCTTGTCCTCTTCCTCTCAGTCTGATTTTCTTACCCCCCGGTCAAGAAAAAAAGGAAGAAGAAATCCACGTCTTTTGCTCGCTTCCTTTCCATTGCCCCCTCTTCCTCTCTCTCTCTACCTGCTTTCCCTCTCCCTCTCGCTCTCGCTCTCTCTCCGTTTCTCGGTCTTGAGACTCTGTTTTTTTCTCCCCGTCCCCTCCTCAAGCCTCCCCCCCCTCCCTCTCTCTCTCTTCTCGGTTTGGGACGATTGCATTTCTCCTCTGCTACCCGACCTTTTCCTTCCCTTTCCCTTTCCCTTTCCCTTCCCCTTCTTCCCCCTCCACTCTATCCTCCGTCCTTAATTCCCTCATCCACCCACTCTCTCCCCCCCCCGCCTTCTCCAACCCTCTTCATTTCTCTCACGCCAGACTTAATCTGTCTGTCGTGCCTGAAGGGTGAGAAGTTGTTGTCGGTCACTGCTTGCCGTTCTGCCTCGTTTGCTCGTGGTAGATCCTATTGAGAGTGCATTCACTCCTTTTTTTGTGAGTAACCATCCAGTCAGTCCCCTTGCCTGACACTCCCGAAGCACAATGTCTTGTCTTTTCTTTTTTTGTCCGCCGTCCACAATACGGTCAATGGGAAAATCTACAACACCTCATCAACTACGCCTTCCATCCGACTCGGTCAGATCCAATATGTCGACCTCTTCACTCCATGTCCGCTTGTCATCTCCGCAATGCGAAAAGATCAATGGGACCCCCGAGGATGTCATGGTGGAGAGACTCGAAAGCAAATTTTGATACTTGGGAAAGGGTCATTCCGAGAAATCCAAGAATAACTCCGATCGATGTCATTGCTGGTCGCCATCCCGCCTTTTTTTCTTAGGTTTATCTGCCCGGTGCGGTGACTCGGACACCTGGCCCGTTTATGTGGACTCTCGCCCCGTCTTCATCCGCCTATTTCCCCGTCGTCTGCAATTACTTGTCAATGCACTGGCTGCGCTACTTAGGTGTTCTGGACCTCATGCTCATTCATATCCTTCCCACAGGCCTCTCCTGATTGCCTCCCAGCGCCAATCTTTCGTTCCGCTTCACGCCGTCCGTTCCGTCCGTCGCGGTCCCCAAATCAATTAAGTAATGGCGTCCTACTACGAGGCCCAGGGCTGGCAAGCCCCTCCTACGCGTCAGGCCTCCTGGGAACAGCCGGCTCCCCCATCGCGGTCAGGTATGGTTGGCAGGACATTCCACGATCTTTTCCAGCAGGAAAATAGCGAGGCTTACACTGGTGCTCTCTCACAGGATCAAGCTCCGTCTCTCAGCGCGATGAAATCCCGGCCTTCTCTTCTCAGTTCGATGGTACGCATATTCCCCGACTCCCCAGATGTCATACCTTGTGCGGATCTTCCGTACGACGCGAATCAGAGATCACGCACTGCAGATGTGTTCTTTTGCGGTCTGCAGACACAGTGGACTCTCTGTTCGGAAAAGGGGAGAAAGAGTGGAAAGAGTGGCGCTGACTTCCAACAGAGGTCGACCGTGCGATTGACAATCTCGTCAAGAGCGGAAAGCTCTGGACCGCGCCCCGGAGAGACTCGATGCCCATGATGATGGGTCGCCCGTACCCCGACTACGGTATGATTCCATGAATGCCCCCTACTAGACGTTAGTCCGTTCTGAACAGTACTGTGGTAGATCCCCGCATGGCCGGTGCGATGTCACAGCGTCATCACTCGATCAGCGAGTTCGATTCTCGGATGCACCCGAATCCCTCCCTCCAGGGCTTCTACGCCTCGCAACGATTCCAGGGTCGTCCCAACGAAGTGGAGCAGATGATGCAAGCGAAGCGTCGGATGGCAGCACAGCGTGAGAGGGAGCTCCGCAACTATCACCAGGAGCAACAGTACAACCGAAGTACGTGGTAGCATTTGTCTTTGGAGCCTCTTTCTTTCTTCCTCGCCCGCATCTTCCTCCACTATTCCCCCCATGATCTTCTCTGCCCATATGTGTATTCGCTGGCTTGTATATTACATTGGGACATGGTTCCAGTTTTTGAACATGGTTTTAATTCTTCTGCTTCTCTCAAAGGCCTGCTTGCCGAAATGTCTGGAAACAAGTCCGATCGCTCGCTCAGCCCAGCCGCCATGAGCGAGGAAAGTCGCCGCGAGCTTCTGGCTCGTCAGCATAGGGCCCTGTACGGCAACGACAGCCCCGCGTTCTTCCCTCCTGGAAGCTTGACCGATGAGAATCCCCGCTCCGACAGCCAGGCCGGTGGTACCCCGACTTCTGCCACCGGAGTTCGTGGCCCGTCTCCCCGCGGTGCCGACCCCTTTGGTCTAGCGCAAACTCCCGTCCAAGGGAGTGTTGATGGCGTGTCTCAGGCTGCCGCCGGTGCCGCCTCCCTCCAGTCGCCCTCGCGCGCCAACAGCGCCTCTTCTCCCAGCTCGGGCATTAACCCTGTCTTTGGCAAGTACGAGACTCCCGATCAGCCCGGAACTTCAACCTCGTCTCCCGGTGGCGCCGATTCTCCCTCCTCGAGACAGGCATCGAGCAAGTCGGCGACTGGACCCATCGGCTCTGTGGGACCCATTGGCAGCCGGCCTCTTCAACAGACCGGTGCCGGCCAGGCTTCCAACCCGGCCTTGAACAAGCGTTCCACCACTCCCCTTCCGTCTCCCCTGGGATTCGGCTTCACCTCGGGTGATGCCACTACCAGCGACCGTGCTTCGTCGGTTTCCAACGCCTCGACCGCCGCCGCGGCGACCGCCGGCGTCAAGGACACCACGGGCGGTGGTGTGTCCCTGGGTTGGGGTAACGGCAGTGGCGTGTGGGGATCGAAGAACGGCTTGGGCGTGCAGGCCTCTGTCTGGGGCTAAGCGACGGCCACCAGCCATGGTTCGATTCTCACAACATTATTCCTTTGGACGGGTGTTCGCTTTTGTACTGTGGCGTTCTAAGAGGAGGTTATATTTTTGATTCGACTGTTGGGAAAGAGCATGGTACATATCTGAAAGAAGTGGGTCGCAAGCACACGTCTTGATTAATATTTTCGTCTAGCGCTCCGTCCCATGTGGACAGTCAGTTTAATTTGGTACATGGTTGGTTCTACTGACTAGCGCACTTTGGGATTGGCCTATTGGTTTCTGGAGTCGGTATTCCCTTTTGTGTTATGTGGCATCATGTTGGGGGTTTCTTGTTTTTGTTGGTGTCGCATCTGTTGATCATGGGTTGTCGCTTCACTCGGCGCCAGTCTATCTATCTATCCACCACTGCTTCAGGGGTTGGGGTATTTTGGGGTGATTGTATTTACCTTGTCTGGCTGTGGGGGTTGTATGTTTTCTCGGGCTCTTGTTTCCCGCTCATCTCTGGGGGGTTCCAGGTGTTTGTTTTTTGAGTGTTCGGGTCTGGTTGTGATTGTGAATCTGGCCGAAAGCATGTTGGGTCATTTTATCATGGGGTGTTTTTCTCTTTGATTATCTGGGTACGAAAAGGGGTTTTCTAGTTTGGTTGCTCTGTGTTTGGTTGTTTTTTCTAGCAAAGGCAAAAGGGATACTGGGGAGCAGGCAAACATTATCAAAAGAGCTGTTTGGAGTCTGTTGATCTGCCGAGGTTTTCTGGAATGTCTTGTGTTTCTGTTTCAAGTTTGTGGTTCTGTTCGTCGATAGGTCTATATGGTTCATATTTTTATTTGTGTTCTGTCATAAGGTACGGTTTACATTTTTTTCCGCCGTGATGTATGGTTCCGGTGTCTAGGGCCTATAATGTCTGTCGTATTAATTTGACCTAAGGTTGTGGATGGGGTACTTGACTCTTCACTGAAGTTGCTGACGGCGGGGGTGATATACTGCTGCTGTAGAATTCTACTTCTGTCTCCCGCAACTTGGTTCTTTTGGACGTCTCAGATTTCTTCCGAGGAGAATGGCTTCACTCAGAAGATCCATCTTAACTGCTTGGATGTTTGCCCAGTCACCCATTTGTCTCCAAAACCTCGCTAAATTGCTGCTCCGCGGCGCCCTGGTCAATAATTCGAAGGAATAGAGGTGTATCACATAACATTTCTATAAGCAGACAAAACTCATATAGCTCAACATTTGACTCCCTCTCAAAATCTAGTCTATCCATGCTCGCATATCGTCATCCATATCATAAAAGAGCTCGTCACGGTCGTTCAGTCATGTACACGAAGAAACCCAACTCCCGTCCTGAAATATGTATCCCAAGCAGCCAGGCGCATCCCAGCGCCAGGAAACCCTGCCTTCCATCCAGCCCAACCCATCAAACCACCGAAACCCTTTCCCCAGCCACCGCCTGGTGTTCCTGGCGCAACAACAACGGATCCTCCTCCGAAGAAGCCTCCAATCCTCCAATCCTCTGGCCCCTTCGTCCAGTATCCACCCTCCCCGACCCAGAATAGGATCTCACCCAAGGCTTCTCCCCCCCGCCCGCACCACTACCGGGCCCCTCCACAGCACCGAGAAAATAAACCCCCTGCCCGGCGACAATCAACGCAAACGCCACGGGATACGCCCAGCCGACCTGATACCGAAAAAGCAGCACGCCGACCCCGACCCCCCAGCAGTTCATGGTCAGCATGGACAGGTTGAAGAACGCGGCGGACGCGCGCCGCAGCAGCAGCGGCACCAGACAATAAAACGCGGCGAGGCAGAGCGTGTACGCGGCCCAACTCCCAAGGACCCTTACATCCCACACAGTGCTGCGGAGGGCAGACAGCTCCCCCAGCGCCAGGGCCTGCAGCGCGGTGATGCACACCCCGCACAGCGCCATCTGGCCGAGCACCTCGTCAATCGGGGCGGTGGTCACCAGCACTTCTTCGAGGACGTTGGCGAGGCCGTAGCTGGTTGCGCCGGTTAGGGCGGAGAGGTCGCCTAGGAGGTTGTTGTGGGCGGACCCGGAAGGGGAGGTGGTCGGGGTGCGGTCGGAAAAGAGGAGGAGGAGCATCCCGGCTATGCAGATGGAAATCCCGAGGAGTTGGGGTCGGTGGTAGTGCACGCCCAGGATGGTCGAGGAGATTAGGACCACGATGGCGATGGCCCAGAAGTTGATGAGTTGGGCGCTGAGGAGGGTCGTGTTACGGTAGGCCAGGACGAGGAAGTAGTTGCCTTGTACGTCGAAGAGGGAGAGGAGAAGGTCTGTTTTTTTGGGGGGTTGGTTAGTTTGTGGGCTGTGGAGGGGGGATAGGGTGGGGGGCAGAAATGGGGATGGGGGCATATCGTACATTTCCAACCGCGAGACAAGAAGCTCTGGGTCCAGCCCTGGAGCCCGTGGCGGTGGATTGTGTAGGAGGTGAAGATCACGGTCAGCAGGAGGTAGTTGAAGAAGGTCTGCGTGGCCGGCAGGGAGACGCCTCGGTCAGCCAGGAGGGTGCTGAAGGTGCTGCATGCTGTGTTGGTGATGGCAAGGATTTGACTGTTGGTGACTTAGTGGTTAGCTGGGTGGTTGAGATGCTAAAGGACTGTTTGTAGAACTGGTGTATATTACCCCAGGAGGAGGGTGATGTAGAATTCTCGGGTGGTTAGGTAGGCGAGCGGGCTTTGCTGTTTGTCGGTGGTATGGTTCGCTGTTGTTGCGTGTTCCGAGTCCACTGCGTCGGTGCTACCGTCGCCGGTAGTATATACATCATAGGTAGCGGAGGTATCGGATTTGAGGGGTGGTGGTGGTGGTGGTATATGGGCACGACCGAGATCGGTGCCCGTGGACGATGGGCCAGCCCCAGCATCGTCTGTGCCATGGGACACAGCAGAATGTGTCATGGCTGCTGCAACGGACTTTTCTAAAACGACTGGAGTAACGACACACCGATGGGAGCTTTCCCACCCGCACGAGCGCAAAGCTCCCGAAGTCGCTCGCGGATGGTAGTTGGTATATCAGAACCAACGGCTGTTTGAATTGAAGATATGAAGGCTGAAGAAAGTCACGAGGAAACCAACTGAGAAGTGGAGAGGACTTTCTACTCTACTAACTGAGTATAAATTATGTAATCGCCAAGTGAGTCAGGTCCGCCCTCCCGTCATGTGCTTCGCAGCCAATCACGGGCCGCACCCTTTATGTGGATCCATGATCCCTACCGCTCGGGCCCGATAAGGGAGCTGACCCGCGTCGGCTATCAGGGATCATCCAACGCTTAGCAGGTAGCTGGTAGCAGTCTGGAACACACCCACTACCAAGGAGTGGCCGCGATAAGAATAGCTATCTGATGCTAATGAGGGATCCCTCGTACAGTCTGCAGCGGTTTGAGATAGAAGTCTGGGTGCCACCTCCGCATCCATGCACCGATCTTAGCGTTCCTGCACGGAACATCCACTTTCTCGCCTTACAGGGGGGGGGGGGAGGAGATAGTATATAAATACGTAGGATTTCGGCATATACCGGTAGTATGTAAGTTGCTTGGTAGCAAGCAACTGTCTTTCCTAGTTGACTACCTGTTTATCATGGTTAGAGACTGTATATTTACTCGAGTATAGCTAATATCGCCAAGCTTCATTGGCCAACACAGAAAAGGTATCCTGCTATAGTCACATGCATCTTGCCACTTTCACTGCCCCAGGCACCCAGAATTAGGCTTTGCGCGATGATCTCATCGGGTCTCCAACCCGGCCCTGTCCTCCGTCAATAGCCTTCATTCATCCATTATGCCATTTTCCTGGAAGATGTTCCGATCCGCCCACTGACAACCGCACAGCTCAGGCTCCCGTCATCCATGGAGGGTAATGGCGGATGTGCTTTGGCATGATTCAAAGAATCGAGCATGTTTGGTGACGCAGTATCCCCCACATGACCCGGCCGTACGCCCCCTCCCCTTGGTTCAGCTACTGACCGAGGGGAACACAGGCGCAGTGATCCGTATCGGTAGTGCAACCGTCTTCAGGCAGTCTCGGCTTAAGCTTGGACTGGTCGCTGCCCAACTGGGTAGGAGCCCCGATCTCGGTCATGGACATCCTGTTCCGTCGCTATCAACAAAAGAGAGGGATTATGGTCGACGGTGGATAGAGGCGGAATGACCCGAAGGCAAGGAGACAACAATGCAACTCTTTCGCTTCCCTACTTTTAGAGATCGTCCGTTTTGAGGCTGAAGTGGTAGCTTATTACATATCCACTCAAAGGTTCCATGGATATTAAATGCGTGGGGTCCCGGGATGATGATTACAGTTGCGGACACACACTCTTCTTGTTAGTAGTGTACCTTATGGAACAATTATAGAACAATTCAAATATCTGACAATGGAGGCAACAATAAGAAGTGACGGGGCTAGAACCTTTTTTTGGTCTTCTCTCCTCCTTGCCATTTTGCCATTCCACCCCTTGACCGACCGACCGACTGACTGACAACCCGGTGACCCAACCTTAACCACAATAACCACAAATGGACCTATTCAGTATCACACCCATACACATGGGACAAGAAGAAGCATCCTGCTGTAAGGTCCGACTCCCCGACCCCCCCGACACCCTAGCGGCTGGAGGGCTATTCTTATCCTGAATCCTCAGGGCTGGCCTGAAACCTTTCCGGGGACGCGCACGTCATCTGCAAGACCCTTTTTTTTATTGATGAACACGCAGATAAGTTTGTAGCTACTGGTATAGTCAGGTGTAGACGGATTGACGGAAGTCCTCAATTGCTCGCTCCGCTTTCGCCGCAGATCCCCGAGCTGGCCCTTTATAGTACTCCACCTGGACTTACTGCTGGCTGGCAGCTGGTGGGTTGCCGTATATCGGACGTTGTCCTGATCAGCTTGGCTCTGATAAGCTCCCGATTTGTTGAGCAATTCCAATCCCTTAGGTAGTGTTCAGTACGGTCGCGTTTTGTTGTTGTCCGGTTCATTTTCTTTTCCCTTTCCGAGACAGATAGGCAGATAGGTAGGGAGGCAGACTCTTAGACAGACAGGCAGACAAGACAGTTGCCGAGGCCGTCAGGTGGTCCCGACGCCAAAGTCAGGAAGGATCCTCATTCATCAACGGAGAACAAGCAGAAGCAGAAGCATAGGCGCAAGTACTGTACTGTACAAGCTGTGAGGGAAGCAGCAGTAGCAGCAGCAAGCAAGCAAGCAAGCAAGCAACAAGCAGCTGCTAACCCTTTCCCCGTCTCCATCTTCTTACCTGTACGGAGTACTGCTGCTATCTTTATTTTTTTTGCCTGTCACTTTTCTTCCCTTTTACATCATTTTCCTTCCTCCCAGACCTCTACTCTCATCCTTTCCACCTACATTACAATACACTCCACACAACACCTCCGTCTCCTTAACCTCCTTCTTCGTCTGTACTCGTCGTTTGCTTGTTTCCATCCTCCCGTCCCCTCTTCTCTCCGTCTCCTCTTCCCTTTCTTCTCTTCCTCCTCTCCCCCCTCCACCTGACCTGATTATCACATCATATCACATCCACACATCCACACATCCCACATCATCATTCTTTTCCCTCTCCCTTCTTTCGCCCTTTTTTAACCTTTCCCGCTTTTTCCTCCCATTCCCCACTTCTTTCCCTTCCCTTCCCTTCCGCACATCCTCCGTCCAATCTGGACCAAGCCGCGGCCTTTTCTTATCTTTCTTTCCGCCTTCCCTTCCGTTGGGGCTCTCCTCGCGCCGGAACACTCGTTCCTGAGTTGTCCCGGAGTGACGAGACGCCACCTCTCCGTTTTGCCGGACCATGGCGTTGGAGGTGCAACCACCTAGCGATCGCAAGCGGGTGAAGGTCTACGAACTCAGAGATAATGACTGGTTCGATCGAGGCACCGGCTTCTGCACCGGTCAGATCCTGGATGTGAGTTGTGTCCCTTCCACCTGCTGTCCGCCGCGCGACTGCTGCGTCGCCCGCTCGTCGGGCGCAAACGCACCATCGCCGTCAGGCGCGCGCTTTGTCGCTTCCATGAAGATTCCATCGCTAACCAGTCCACGCCATGGCTAGGATGAGCCGCGGATATTCGTCGAGTCGGAAGATGAACCCAACCGGGTGCTGTTGGAGACCAAGATCTCCAAGGATGACGGATACCAGAAGCAACAAGGTGCCACCCCTCCTGCGCGCTTCCCGTCCATTGCGCACGCGACAAATCATACAAGAACCATCACTGACCATCACGCGACCCCATCAGAGACATTGATTGTATGGACAGAGCCCAATGGAACGGACATGGCACTCAGTTTTCAGGAAGCCGAAGGGTGCGCGGTCATCTGGTAAGGCGCATCGAGCCCAGCTCGGAACGGGGATAGAGATGAGTCAAGCCGAAGACTGACTGAGTCTCCGAAGGGATTTCGTCAACAACGTGCAGCAACATCTACTCAGTTTGGCGCCGGGAGGTTAGACTTTCTCCCATCTCCAGGCTACGCTGCCGCGATAGCTGAAGATAGGATATTTTGCTGACCTGGTCATTTTCCGTTGTGCCTAGAAGATGCCTTGTCCGACGAGATCGAGAGCTACCAGTCGATTATGCTGCCGGCACCCGAGCTAGGCAATCTTCCCGAAATCGACCACATCATGAGGACCTCGAGCATAACTCAAGCCGGCCGCGATGCTCTTTCCAAATTAGTCATTCGTGATGAGTATATTCCGAAACTAATCCCTCTGGTCTCAATGGCGGAAGACCTCGAAAGCCTTCCCGATCTACATCGCCTTTGCAATATCATGAAGTCACTGATTCTACTCAACGACAACACGATCATCGAAACCGTGGTCACAGACCCCGTCATTCTGGGGGTTGTTGGAGCATTGGAATGTATGAATCCTGATGGCAGCGCCTTGCACTGAGGAAATCGCTAATGGGCTGTAGACGACCCCGAGTTCCCCACTCACAAGGCCAACCATCGCCAGTACCTCGCAGACCAGACGCGTTACAAAGAAGTGGTCCCCATCAAGGACCCGCTCATTCGTCGCAAGATCCGATACACCTGGCGCTTACAGTACCTCAAAGACGTGGTGCTGGCTAGGATCCTAGATGATCCTACATTTTCGGTGTTAAACTCGTTGATCTTCTTCAACCAGGTGGAAATTGTTAATCATATCCAATCCAACGCGCAATTCTTGAAGGAACTCTTTACAGTCTTCGACCCCCGAAACGCCGACAACAAGCGCAAGGAGGATGCGGTCCAATTCCTTCATCAATGCGCGGTCATCGCAAAGAACTTGCAAGCGCCGGCGCGTGCGAACCTCTTTGCCAATTTCATCAACCATGGCCTTTTCGCTGTGATCGCATTTGCCATCAAACACCCCAAGCCACCATTGCGCACGACAGGCATTGATCTTCTGGTGTCTCTCCTCGACCACGATCAGATCATGATGCGCGGATATATGCTAAAGGCCGTCAGCGAGAAGAAAACGCCCCTTACAGATACTTTGATCGACCTGCTGCACACGGAAACCGACCTCGGAGTTAAGAATCAGCTTGCCGATGCGATCAAGGTCCTGCTAGATCCACAAATTCCAATGCCGGACGCCATGGCTCGGGCTGGACCCGAGCACTTCAACAAGCCACGTTCCAATATCTTTTCGGATACATTTGTCCAGAACCATTTCGACGAGTCTGCCAGGAGGCTGTTTTGGCCTCTGAAGCGACTCGAAAATAGCGATAATCGTGAGTTTTGCTATTCTATGCCATTGCCTGATGGTTGCTGACCGTGGCGCCACCACCTCTCGCAGTGAATGACCTCACATTCCAAGATGTAACGCTGTATTCGCATCTTGTCGATATTCTTACGTTTTTCGTGCGCCAGCATTTATACCGTTCTCGCAATGTTATCCATGATGAGTCGCTCGCCCCTCGGGTCGCTCAATTACTTACTGTGCCTCAGAAGCATCTCAAACTGAGTAGGTTGCCACGATAACTGTGTTGGTCTGCTGGAAACTAACCTCTCATTCTCCTCAGCTGCTCTGAAGTTCTTCCGCACTTTAATTAGTCTCCAAGATACCTTCTACCAAGCTATGATGACCCGTAACAACACGTTTGGTCTGATCCTCGATATCGTCTGCCAGTCCATGCCACGTGACAACCTTCTGAACTCGGCCTGCCTTGAACTCTTCGAGTACATCAAGCGTGAGAACATCAAACCCATCGTTCTTCATCTGGTGGAGAAATATGGCGAGCAGATCAAGAACATCACCTATGTGGATACGTTCCAAACTCTGTACTTACGCTACGAGCAATTACAGGGCTACGGCGCAGAGGAGGCGGATTCTACTCTATACTCCCAGGGAGAAGAATTGCCAGGTCAGCGGATGCAAGCCAATGGGTCGCGCTGGCAAGGGGTCAAGGAAATGGATGCTGCAGAGGAGGAATACTTCAACACTTCGGATGATGAAGAAGAGGTAAGTCGCATCAGCCAGGAATCAGACAGTCTGGAGTATTGACCATGTACTTTAGTGGCAGCAGGATCCCCAACAGAACACAGCCATTTCTGCACACCCGCAGAACGGCCCAGCATCGCCCGTAGTGAAGCCCCTGGTTGATTATCCCGATGATGACGACGAAGACGACGCGATGGATACCAAGGTTGAAGACCAGACGCAACCAAAGCAAGAATCGTCATCACAGGGGGACTTCAGTCGAGCCACTGCCATGGAGTCATCTGAGGAGGCACCGTCCACGCCCGTCTCGTTGACGATACAGACCCCACCTGAAAGAGTGTCGGAGAAGCGCCGACGCGAAGAGGAAGATGATGACGAACTGATGAAGCTTACAACCGGCCCCAAACGACGAAGCTCAGTCAATGCAGGATCTGGGAGTGCCGGGCTTCTGCGCCGGAAACGAAGCGTGTCTATTGGCTCTCTTTCATCCAACGAGAAAGGGTCAACTCTGGGCAATACGACTACCAGCGCAGCACCAAAACGGATTGCGATCAATTTGAGCTCCGCAACCGTCAAGCCCACTGACACCGCGGTAGACAAAACGAGCAATGAAAAGGAGAACCGAGATGATAACCATGACAGTCAAGGTGGATGATTTCATGATTTCCAGAATCGTCTGATCTTTTTGTTGTGAATGCTCGAGTCTCCGTAGCCGAAGCCAACTGCATCCATTGCTGTGTTGTCATTTGTCAGAGTTAAGGAACATTCCGTGTTTGTTTTACGACAGCCTTCTAGATACCAGATGAAGTGATGCGTTTTTTTCTAGCATTGTTACCGATGGACCGAACGCATTCTTTCTGTACGATTCCCTTTTTGTTCCTTGATGGCTTTCCTTTTAGAAGCAGGACTCGATTTGACCAGTCCGGTTCGAGATGATTGTACATTTATAGCACTTTTTCTCTTCTCTTCACTTATCATTCGGGATTTCGAGGGCTCCGGACTGGGGCGGAGTCAGGCTTGCTGGATGGACTGGACGGTATGGTATGAGCTGGGGTTGAAGAAGGGATAGCATTTACGAAAAGACATCGATTGCACATATACTTGCATGGGCAATGTCAAGTGAACTTGAACCTGGCGCCGATGGGAGCGACTGTAGATTATGGGAGATGTAGACTGTATACGAGCGCCGATCACATCCTCGGCTTGCGGGGAAAGAGTACATCCGCCGCTGTCTCCCGCGGCCGGCGAAGCAACGACGAAGACAGGATGCATGTTCCAGACTTGAAGTCTGGGGTGGAGATGCATGATTCAGAGATCTTCAGCGTGTCTTTAAATACTGACTCAGGCGCCATGTCTCCGGAAATCGGCTCTCACATGACCCCGGATAGTTTCTTCCACACCTTGTGCGACAAGAAATCCTCCGGGAGTTGGTCTGGAAGCCCCGTGATTATCTACTTTATATCCGGCAATCCTGGCTTGATATCGTACTACTACCCATTCTTCACGCATCTGATCGAGAAATTGAGGGCTTGGAGTTCCGAGGACGATGCGAGCCCCAGACTCCACCTCTACGGCCACAGCCTCGCCGGCTTTGAGGTAGCATCGCCACCGTCCGACAACAACACAGAACACTATCACGACCTGGAAGACCAGATCCGCTTCGTGCAGCGCAAGCTGGACGATTGCGTGAGCCGTGTTGTCGCGTCGGAGGCCTCAGCTTCTAATCGTGTCAACGACGATACACTCAGGCCCCGAGTCATATTGATCGGCCACTCCGTGGGGACCTACATCGCTATGGAGCTCATCCGGCGCCACCGCGAACGAACCTCAGCAGCAACCTCATCATCATCATCATCTTCAATTGACACCAACAACGCCTCCTTCCCCATCATCAGCGGAATCCTCCTCTTCCCCACCGTCGTCGACATCGCCAAATCCCCCTCCGGGAGGAAACTGACCGTAAGTTCGCAGAACCCTATCCCATACTCCATCATCTCCAACCCACTCTCCCCTTTCACCCTGGAATAACGAACGCTAACCACCTCACCATCTCCCACACGGGTAAGACCCTCCTCACCATCCTCCCCCACCTAGCCCTGATCGCCAGCCTCTTCGCACGGGTCCTAACGACCCTCCTCCCGGCCTCCATGCTCCGCACCGTAGTGCGTCTGGCGATGGGATCCCCGCCGTCCGCCGCCGTGGACACGACCTGTCGGTTCTTGGGGAGTAGGAGGGGCGTTAGACAGGCTTTGTACGTTCCCTCCCTTTCTTTCCATGTCGTATGGGACTAGGTGTGGGTCTTGCGCTGGTGATCAGTATCCAATATCAGGATCACACCTAACCCAGCCCCGTGTTCTACACTCTCCAGTGTACGCCCGGCAATACTGACGGTGATAGACACATGGCCGCTTCGGAGATGTACACCATCAATTCGGATGAATGGGCCGACGAGGTCTGGGGGATTGCGTCGACACCTGAAGCAGAGAAGAGCTTGACGAAGTTGTTCTTTTATTATGGGCGCGGGGATCATTGGGTCGCTGAGGAGACGAGGGAGGAGATTATTGCTTTGCGGGGGAGGGGGAATGGGAATGGGATTACTGAGGGTGGGAGTGCGAAGGGCGGCGAAGGGGAAGGGGAAGGGGGCCGTGGTCCGACGATGGTGGTTTGTGAGGAGGGGTTGCCGCATGCTTTTTGTTTGAGTGAGTCGAAGTCTTCCCTCCCCATTCCGGTGTATTGGGTTTCGGGCCCGGGGGGTGTGCTTGGGGTTTGTGGGTTTGTGGGTTGACTGAATGTTGACTGGGTTGATCTGATGCGTGTGCTGACTGTATGCTGGGCAGGGCATAGCGAGGTTATGGCAGAGAAGGTTGTTGGCATGGTTAGGGAGGTTGTGGGGTGAGGATGGGTATTCCTTAGGGAGTTGGGGTTGGGGTTGAACAGGGTAAGGAGTATGTATGAGGACATTGACTGTATAGAGACATCGTGAAATAGAGGTAGGGCTACGAAAGTCTTTCAACAATGCACACCAAAACTTCTATATGCGCTAATCATACCACCATCATTCATGGGTATCCTCTCGCATCCATCCGCACACAAATGACACACCTCACTGGCCCCCCTGATACGCCAGCCCGGCCCTCCGAAACAGATCCCCCAGAACATCCTGCTGCAGCGCCGGCACAGCTCCAGCTGGAGCCTGCGCAGGTCCAGGACCCGACCCCGGTCCTGGACCCGGACCCGGCTGCGACGGAGGCGGAGGCGCATGCTGCCAATCGGCCGGCGCAATCTGATGCGCGCGCACACTCCACCCATCATCCTGGGCGCGCTGCTGCCCGAACAGATCCTTGAGCGAGACCTGCCTTCCCATCGCCACACTAGTGCTCACCTCCTCCAACGGCGCGCCCGTCGTAGCCGCCACCGCCGCCGTCGCCGCCGCAACATGCATCCCATTCTGCCGCGTCGCCTCGACCCGCTCCCTGGCTAGCTTCAAGCTCTCCCCAGCATGTACCGCACATTCCCGGATCATCTGCGCGTTGATGTTGCGCGTCTCGGCCGTGGAATTCGGCGGTGGTTCACTGTAGATCCACAACCCGTAGATTCGAATATCCCCACCATTACCACCATTCCCCGAAGGCTTAGCAGCGGCGGCGGCGGCGGCGGTAGAATTTGCTGGCGGGACCATGCCCGGGATGGAAGCATTCTCCACCACCTCCGGCGCGAGATCGGACTTCAGGATGATATACTCCTCGGTGATCTCGACGTTGTCGCCGTCGGTGAGCGGGAGGTCGAAGTTGTTGAGCCCGCGACGGTTCAGCACGAAGACGCTGTAGCGCTCTTCGCCTAGCTCGCCCTGCGATCGCTGGCACACGAAGAGCGTCCCCTCCACGCCGCTTTTCTCCCATTGCCGCGTGCTGGGGCTGAAGATGTAGACCACGGCGTATTGCGCGAGGGAGAGAATCGAGGTGATGGCTGGGTTGTGGCGGCGGAGGACCGACAGGTTGAGGTCTTCGTTGGTGCGGAGGGGCGGCGGCGCGGGGGCTGTAGTGGTGGTTGCGGTGGTTGTCATTGGGGGGAGTTGTTGGTGTGTTTGTGGGGGGTGGTGAGGGTGAGGGTGAATGGGGAGTTGCTGCTGCTGTAGTTGGTGGTGTTGGTGGTGTTGAGTGTCTGAGAGATAGGTTTGGTAGTCGGAGTCGTAGTCGGAGGGTTGGGCGAAGCCGCTTTGGCTTGGGTGGTGTTGATGGTGTCGCGGGTTGTTGATGTTGTTGGTGCCCTGGTTGGAGTGTGCCCGTCGGGGTTTGCGAGCGGACATTGTGTGAGATGACTGGTATAGAGAAGAAATGTGAGGTAAAAGAGAGAGACGGGGGTGTGGGTGTGTGGGTGTGTGGGAGGTGAAGTGATGACGATTTGAGGGAAGTTACGGCGGAGAGAGAAAGCGAAAGGGAAAGGAAGGGGAAGCTCTGGCCGAGAAGCGGTCGGAAAGCACCCCGCGGTCGAGTCTGGAATCCCATTCCATCATTGATTCAATCCGTCACTCTTCCTCTTCCCCTTCTTCCTCCTTCCACCTCAAAACCATCCTCCCACCACCTTTTCTCTCTTTCACTGGGTTCTGCGATCATTCTTCGTGGAAGCTGATCGCAGACCTTGATTCAAATCCCCAAGACTGTTCTCTCTCTTGTGAGCGCCCCCCCATCCCAATCTATACCAATCCAGAGCCGCCGCTCCCGCGGGCTTGTACAGTACGTACTCCACGCAGCTCTCGCTCGCTACGACCTTCGCCACCAACGCTCTGGTCCACACTCCAGTCTTGATTTAGAACGAACCCTGACCTCTCGCTCGATGGTCGCATGATGTTCATCTCCTAATTTCTCAAATTATCACATCTAGCTTCTATTCGGTTGTGCAACCTTTTGCGCCGCGTGTCAGTCCGCGGTGACCTCGTATTCGCCCGCATCGCTCGGAGGCCACCCTATATATAGATCTATATCCCTGGATCGGGAGGGCGCATACTATTCCCTTGATCATACACCATGGCTTCCATCGCCCAGCAACAGCAACACATCTCCGGCGAATTCCCGGGCGACAACGAAACGTCTCCGGAGACTGACCCCTCCTCGCTCCCGCAGGCCGTCAAAGCGCGAAAGGCCGAATACACCCACCAGCAGTCGATCCGAATCAAGGTCGGCACATGGAACGTGGCTGCCATCCCGGGCACCGAGAACGACATCGGGAACTGGTTCGTGCAACAGAAGGGGGTATGCGAACAACTGTCTGGGTTGCGGGTGAAGGACTCGCAGGGAGGAAACAAGACGGACGACTCTTCGGCTGGACAGACAGAGTCACTGTCCGAGACTACGCCGGACCAGATTGACCTCTACGTCCTGGGCTTGCAGGAGGTTGTGGATGTCTCGTCGCCCGCGGAGGCCCTGAGACCGTATGTCGATCCAGCGCCGGCGAATAGATGGAAGGCGGCGCTTGAGAAGGCCTTGCCACCGGGATATAAGCTTATTGCCGAGACACAGCTGGTGGGATTGCTGCAGCTGGTTTATGCTTCCCCCTCCCTGGCCAACCAGGTATCGTCCGTGAGCTGCACTAGTGTGGGTACGGGGCTTCTAGGATATATGGGTAACAAAGGCGCCGTCGCGACTCGCTTGGTCCTTGGCGAAACCACATGCGTTGTCTTTGTGAACTGTCACCTGGCTGCCGGGTCCGATAAGAACAGTCTAGAGCGGCGCAATTGGGACGCTTCCCAGATCGTTACACGGACTCGCTTTGAACCCATTGACCCGATCGCTACACTTCGTGAAGACCCTGCCGAGAGTATCGGGCAAGAGGACTTTGCTTTCTGGTTCGGAGATCTCAATTACCGACTGGAAGACATTCCCGGGGATGATGTGCGTCGAGTGCTGGCTCGACATACGGAGAACGACTACGATAACCGGCACAAGACACGAGTGAATGCCGATGGGCGTACTGAATCACCGCTGGTAATAGACAAAGAAGGAGGAAATCAACAGCGATCATCTAAAAGAGGCAGCTCTAGTTCCCCTGTTTCGGACGACGACATCGATCCCCATACAGATCCCGCCTCCTTACAGACCACGATATCGTCTCTATTGCCTCATGACCAGCTTACGATGCAGCAGAGCAGGCGTAAGGCGTTCCATGACGGCTGGCGAGAGGGTCCTGTCACCTTCCTGCCTACTTACAAGTATGATGTAGGCAGCGTGGGTAGGTTTGATTCGAGTGAGAAAAATCGCGGTCCCAGCTGGTGCGATCGGATTTTGTTCCGATCACACAAAGACAAACTGAGGTCTGAGCGACTGGCGAAAGAAGCCGAGGAGGCTAGGAAGCGCGATGAGGAGATGAAGGCCAGGGGTCTGGACAAGGCGGCTGCTGATGACAACGTCTTGTTCGATTATGACCCAGATGTTGACGGAGCCGACAGTGGGGATGAATATGATCCCGACAAGGATTCCAGTGAAGACGACTCTCTCATGTCTGCCGCCGAAGCCGATGAGTCTCTTCAGTTAGACTACTACTTGTCTCATCAAGGGATACTCTCCTCGGACCATAAGCCTCTCGCGGCTGGGTTTACCTTGACATTCGAGTCCGTGGATCCGCAAATAAAGGCCAAGATCCATCAGGAAGTGGTTCGAAAACTGGACAAGGTGGAAAACGAGTCTCGACCTGGACTTACCGTGGTGGTCGATCATCATGGTGATCAGCCCACCAGCGAAGATCCCAACGCCGTGAATTTTGGAGACGTGCCGTTCGATGTTCCCGTCACTCGGACCTTGACCGTCGCCAATACCAGCGGTGTATCCGCCACCTTCTCTCTGGAGAAGCCGGAACAGAATGAAACCCACAAGTCGGCTCCTTGGTTGGAGTACCGGGTGCACCACCCCGAACAAGAAGACTCGAAAAAGAAGCTGCCGTCGAACGAATGCACTCTCCTCCCCGGTGAGATTGCCAATATTGAGGTTACGGCGTTTGTTCGAGACGTAGAGCTGGCTCGATTATTGAATCAGGACCAATTTAGCCTGGAAGAAGTCCTCGTCCTCCGAGTGACGAACGGGCGGGACCATTTCATTTCTGCGTACGGCAAATGGCTGCCTACCTGCTTTGGCCGCTCGCTCGAAGAGCTCACAATGATGCCCGAGGCGGGAGCGCGGAGTCTCAACAACTCCGAACAACGACGGAGTTCGGCCGTGCCTCTATCGGCACCTCGCGAGCTATTCAGACTGACTGAGGCTATTTCGGAAATGACTGAACGGGCCGTTGCTGAATGGAGTATGACAAGAGGCCACTCAGAGGATGACATGCCTCCGTGGACCAAGGAGCCATATGGCTATGGCTGGCCTTTTGAGCCTGAGACATGGACCTTACGTGACAAGGACGAGCGTCTCTCACTTTTGGCCGCCGCTCGCGAGGCTTTGGACACCAATAAAGATTTCAGCATCGTCTTCGCGCCCGAAGTATCTTGTCTCCACCGGCTCGAGATTCTCAGCGAAACGCTACTTGTCTTCCTTCGGTCATTGAAAGACGGCGTCGTCACCAACACTGTGTGGCAAAATCTAGACCAACAGATCCTTGCTCGCGAGAAGACCCGCGCACCGCCTTTATCGTGGGAAGAAGCCCAAGCGTGGGTGCTGGAAAGCCTCGCCTATTCCCCCGCCCACAGCGTCTCCTTCACTTTTGTAACTTTCATGCTAGCCCGTATCGCCAACGAAGTCGCCCCGGCATCATCCATCCCCACCCACGGCCCTCTGAAGATCTTAACCCCTCCGCGCGAGAATAGAAACCCAACAACACTAGAGAATTCGTCAAAAGACTTAGCAACCCCCCAAGAGCAGCAACAACAAGAGCAAGAGCAACCGCCACCCCCATCATCATTTATATCCGCCAACGCCTTCCGGCGCCGAACCCGCACATTCAACTCTTCCGTCTCCGAGCCCCCTTCTGTCATCTCCCAGATGGCCATGCGCCGCCAAGCGGTTGAAACTGCCCTGGCGACGATTTTCGCCTCGGTACTGGTCACCACGGAAGGACCCGTGCCCGCGAAGGAAAAAGACCGACGAGCGCTGGAGGAGCGCAAGCGGGGCGTTATTGAGCCATTCTTGAAGACAATTGGGGTGGATAGTAAGGGACCTTCGGGGGGCGTTCCCTAATCTGTGTGTATGTATGTTATTGTATAGTTCCCTGTAGGTAGATGGCATATGGATAGATCTCTTTCTGCGATGGGCTGGGGGGCTTGCGGAGCGACACGTTTGCGTGATGTGATTCGATCAACGGATGCACTCAGCCCTGGTAATTGGATAGAGCTTAATAGCATTAGCTAGGCTTGATAATAGTGGACGTCTGGCTGAAACCCGGGTCAGATATGTTGCAACTTTCGGGGGCTTTTCCTCATGTGTATTATAAATACTATCAAGGGCTGCGTCAGATGTGAGGCATTTCAGGGTAGTTTGCATATATAGACTATTTTGCTGTAGGAATGAATCCTTAAATAATTCCTTGCTTATATAGACGATCTCACAAGTAGGAACCACCTTGCTTGTGCAAATGCTTCTATAGTATATTGTTTATCTAGTTTACTTAGTATACAACAACATCAATCCCAACAGACTGGACTGGTATATACTCGCCAGATCTAAGCTTGCCTTCGACATTATCAACTGAAAGTGTCTTCCATGTTGCCTGTTTCAACGAGAATGATTGGGAAGAAGTCCCGCTGCGCGGTCACGGTGATGCGCTCCTTCCTAATCCGTCCCAATCATATCCTTAAGGCAGCCAGCATTATACAGTTGTCGACTGTAAACAGAAACCTCTTCTTTCTCTCCATTTGCTCTCACTGTGCTCTCAACTATATCATTACAGCTGTTTTACACTTAGAATATACACCCCCGACTTTCACTTCATTTATCAGCATTATTCCATCGATATCAGCAACCAGCATGTCCACACATCCTACCCAGCCCTCCCAAAGCCTCTTCGTCGGCACCATCTTAACCCACGATATCCACACCGGAGAGTCCACCAATCCTCTCGCCATCTACAGTGACAAGGTGATTACCATCGGCCGGTCCACGAAATGCGACTACGTCATTAAGGGCAAACACATCTCGCGCAGGCACCTCCGCATCCACACCGTGGTATTCGACCGCGACAACCCCAGCGAGATCGCTCCGCTCGTCTACGCCCAGGACCTTTCCATGAACGTCACCACCTGGAACGGCCACCCCATGGGCCGTTCGGCCGGCGGCTTCCTGCTGACCCACGGCGACATCCTCTGCCTGAAGGGCGAGAAGTTCCTCATGTTCGAATGCCGGGACCAGGTGTACGACAAACCAACGCCGTATGAGTCGCAGCAAGAGGAGCTGCAGCTCCTGAACCGCGAGTTCGTTCTCACGCACCGCAAGCTCGGCCTGGGAGGCTTCGCAACCGTGTACATGGCTTACCGGCGAGACCAGGGACGGCAACTGGCGTGCAAGGTCCTGGATTTGCGGCCCCTTCGAGATCAGGCCATCAGATCCGTGAGAGCAGACCTAGCCAACCTCTTCGAGCACCATGGGTCACAGGCTTCGGAGGAAGCTGGGGATCCCGGGGTCATGGCGCAGTTCGATGACCTGGTGTGGAAGAGGTGGACGGAGAAGCGCGAGCTTCTGCGGCAGGAGGTTATGATCTTGAAGGATCTGAGTCATGTGAGTCTGATCCCTTGGAGAAGAGAAAGGGGAAAGGGGAAGGATTTGTGAGTGCGGTTGAACAAGAGAAGGAGGGTGGCTATGCGTGGATGATGCCTGACTAACCACTCCTACGCACAGCCTAATATCGTGAGCCTCGAGAAGGTGGTCTGCTCTCCTGATACCTAGTGAGTCGTGGTGAGCCCGGGAACACTGAGATCAAAGCTAAGCTCGCGGTTGTCAACAGCTACATCTTCCAGGAACTTGTCACCGGAGGGGATCTCTTCTCTTATATGCAATACAAAGGAGGAAAGCTTGCTAACATGGAGGCCGCATCGGTAGTGCGGCAGATCCTCCTGGCGCTGGAATACCTTCATGACCAAAATATTGTCCACTGCGACCTGAAACTCGATAACATCCTCATGACAACCTTGGAAGAGGGGGGTAGGGTTGTTCTCACCGACTTTGGCTGCGCTACGCGGTTGAATCATCCCATGGAAAAAATGGCGGCAACGAAGGGTACCATCGCGTATCGTGCTCCGTAAGTCATGTTCGGTCTTCTTCAGGCACTATGTGACAGCGTGTATCTGTAACAGGGCGGCACCAGCTCGCTAACTGCAGTAGTGAGATGCTCGAGAGACGTTGCACCAAAGCTATCGACATGTGGTGTCTGGGATGTGTGGCAACCATACTACTCACCGGAGAACTTTTACCCGACAGTTCGTTCGAATCGTGGGCGGACTTTCTTGCACGGGAAACTGGTGTGTTCCACCTACTGAGTTTCTTTTATCTACATAAGATCAGAATCCGCGCTCAAAATTTCATCTGCCGCCTGCTTGAGATGGCGGACGACAAGCGCATGACTGCTGAGGAAGCTCTGGGGCATGAATGGTTTAGCAATCGCAGTCACGGGCCCTCATTCCAAGACCTGTACAGCCGGGCATGCAAGGGCTGGGTGCCTCGAACACCCGTTGACCCGATCGTGGAGCTGTCTAGTTACACGAAGGAGCTTGAGACGAACGAGTCACCCAAATGCTATAGCGGGGAGGGATCGAGCCACAGTGGCACGGACTCGGATGAGCAGGACCAACTATCATTGACTTCCACGGTGCCGGATACGACCTGCCATCTTGAGGCGTCGCCTACCTTGTCGGATCCGGTGCTTCCACCGATGAGAGATCGAACCAGTTCAGATGAAGTGGCCGTGGAGGAGGAAGATGAGGAGGAAGACGAGCGGGGGACACATAAGCCCATTACAGAAGATGAGCTCGAGGTATATAAAGACCGAAAAATCGGGGAGGGGGAGGGAAAGGACGTGGACGAGGGCGTGCATTCGGCTTAGCTGGGTTGTCTTGAGCGTGCATCACTTTCTTTTCCTTTCATGCTATTTTGCGAGTATCTGTCGAATATAGTTAGATAAGACCCAACAATACCGGGATAGCACACGGGTTTTATTGTGGTCGGGTAAGAGGTCATAGTCATTAAAGTAGTGAGTAATCGGCTATCCCTCATAGATTTTCAATACAGTGGCAATCTCCGACTGGATTATACATTTTAGGCCTAGCCCCGCTCTAGAGGATAAACCCATATACTCTAATCACTTGAGGTAGCTACTTGTGATCCAACTTCCAATCTAGAAGTAGTGTATAACTCTACGCCTAAGACTAGTCCAGTCTAAACTCCAATTATATATCCCCGGTCGGATACTGCTGCGAAACTCGGGCTTCCTGCTTGACACACGCCACGCCAGTGAGACGGTTCATACTTTGATATGGGGTGATCTATGGTAGTACCTGTATATCAGACCGTCGAGGAAGGATGGAAGGTTTACAGAGGCCTCGGCAGTGGGAAGATAAATGGCTGGAGACTATGTTACCTCTCTAGCTATCGGAATGGAGAATCGAGTCTACAACATCAAGGGACTACTAGCTTGGACAGGATAGAGCTTAGGCGTGAAGCTCCTAGGACTCTACACACTACCCGTCTTGATAGTGGATAAATGTAAGGTACATCTGATCTAGGGCCCATCCAGAGATAGCAAGTATACATACATCGAGATGCATCATATAGCCCGGAACAGGAATTCAATCGCACACAATTTCCAGGGGGGTTAGTTACCAAAGGGCTCCCCACACCCAAAGCCTAGCCGACGAGGTTCGACCACTAGTCACCACCATCTGCTCCAGCGACGCTACCGAGTTCCCTCCCTTTGGCGCCCCCTTCCTAAACAAGAGCTTCTCCGCCCCAGAGACAGACAGACGCCCTTTCCACCCAAGTCTTCCTCCTATACGGGGTTTCATAGCAGTGCTCCCTCCCTAATCAAAAGAGAGACCTAGGGTCGCTACCAACGTCTTCAGCCTACGATACCCCCAGGACCCTAACGACGAAAAATAGGTATCCACCAAACGAGCTGATGATTATATAGCATGGACACGTACCTAAGCTAGGTATCACGAAAGCTTATTAAGTACAGTACATACTTCCTGGAGGCGGATGCTTGACAAACCTCAAAAAGAAACCCCCCCCTTCCCAGGGAGGAGTGCACCCCTTTATCCGTACTCAAAAGAAGATAGTTGGCAAGGCATACATGCCCACCCGAGCAGGATTGCTGTTATCGCAGACCAGCACATTGCTCTACTTATCGATGCTTATTAGCTATGTCTTTCGATGCTGGAAACCAACAGGTTGAAGGGGGGATTCGTAAGATGCATAGGATTGCATTCAATGCAGCAAGCGCTATGTACAATGCATATAAATCTGTATGCCCAAAGATGAACGATTCCAGCGCCACGCACTGTGAAAAAAAAACCCCAAACATAACTCAGGCTTCATGCACATGAAGGGGACAACAAAAGGCATATGTGTGATATCGCCCAACCAACGCCGTGGCGAGAAGAAGAAAAAAAAATGCAACCAATGGTATAGTATAGTCCTTTCCTCCTGACATGCATGATAACTGAGGGGGTTTTTGTTTTTTTCTCGTGAAAACCCTACAGGGCAGAAGAGCATCAATGAATAATGAGAGGAGAACCGGGGCCAAGGATGACTCCATCGTACCAGACATCACCATTCTCAACGCGTTTTCCGTTTGCGATCGGTACGGGGGAAGTCCAAAGGTTTGTAGGCTAGCCCGTGAGCCCCGGTCATGCGGATCCGCTGCTCCGTTCGAGACATGGTACGGCCTAGCCCTAGGTTGGTATCGGGGGCTAGGGAAATCTCGTACCCGTTCACTTGGCCCGACTGGGGTGACTGGCTTCGCGAAAATGCATAAGACGGCGACGCGCTACTTCTACCGCTAAAGGAAGACGCCCGCCCATCGTAAGAAGCGGCAGACCACCCGTCCAGGATCCGGGGACCGCTTCTCAACGACTCGGCTGCAATGCGGGCAGCAGAGAGAAGGAGCTCGTCCTCATCGACTTGAACAGACCTTGGCTCCTGGGGTTTTGAGGGCGCGACTGGCTTCCGGGTGGTCATCGACTCGATTTGTTCCAAGATCGGAAGCTTGGGCAAAGGCTTCAGAGATGAAAGTGCCATTGACTTCCGGCTGGGCACGCGAGGCGCTTCTTGCTTTTGCGCCTTGACCACCTTGGTGCCGCTATCGCTTTGGGGTGGCGAGGGTTCTTCAGGTTCCTCGTGAACTCGTTTGCGACTGGCGGTTGGTTTGCTCTCCCGACGCCGGTCAGCGGCTTCCCTGAGAGCCGACAACCAGGAAGTACGCTGCACAGGCACCTCTTCGTTAGTCGTAGCATCTTCGGGTAGAGGCTGAGCAGGAACCGCTGGAGTTTGATTCTTGCTCGGTTCGGTGGCTGCAGGCAGTGGCTTTTGCGGAGAACCTAGATCATCCAGCTGTAGTTCGGGCTCCTTTTCTGAAACGGACACAGCTGGCACTTCAGCCTGCGTCGAAGTGTCAAGTTGCTTATTTGAGATACTGGTTTGTACACCGCCGGAAAGGCTCTGCTTCTCTTCAGGTAAAACCTCTGACTTTGCACTTGGTGGTTGAGCAAAGGATATCGTAGGTTGTTCTTCGGATAAGTTAGCATGCGAGGTCAGTCAGATGATTGAGTTTGACATACTGGTCTGTTTCGGAGGAGAAAATAAAGGGAAAGGGGATGCCGGCTTGGCTGTCTCTTCCGAAGGCTTGGGAAACAAGGACGGAGGCTGTTTAGCAGCCGCATTATCAGAGGTCAGGCTTGGTACAGAAGCACTGAAGCCCGAGCCTGAGAAACCGTCGAAGGTAGGCTTTGAACCACCAGTGCTGAATATGCTAGGAGCGGACTGCCCGGTAGTGGAAAAGACAGGATTTGACGCAGATGCAGGAACGGAAGTACTGAAAGGTGAAGTTGAAGATGGCTGAGGAGTGGAAGATGTTAATAATTTGAATGGCGTAGAGGATGAAAGCGAGGAGAGTGGCGGTTGTTGCTGCTTCTCTTGACTCGGGCTTTGAACATTGGCGAAGATAGGCTGTTGGCTGTTTCCTGTCGGTAACGCTGTGGTTGCCTGTTCTGGCTGAGCTGGTTGTCCGAAATTGAAAGGCGAAGTAGTTGATGAGAACGAATCTGAAGAGGCCTTTTGTGCGTTTGACGTACTAGACACGTGCTTACTGCTTTCATCCTGCTGGGGAGGTTTGGGGAACGAGAAAGGAGAGGTGGTCGTAGTGAACGCGCTCGAAGAAGCCTGTTGATTGCCCGTTGCCGACGGGAAAGAGATCGTACTTTGATCCTGTTGTGGGGGCTTAGAAAACGAGAATGCCGAAGCGCCATTCGAAAATGGGCTCGGAGACGACGGCCGACCGCTCGATGTTGCTGACAGACCCAATTGTGACTGGCTTGACTGGGGTAAAGTTGGGGTGCCAGTGGCGAAAGGAGTTGGTGGTAACGGCGAAGGCGCGCCGAAGGTGTTAGAGGAAGGATTAGGAAAAAAGGACGAGAGAGGAGCCGCCTGTTTTTCAGGCGCTTGTGGTTGAGGTGAAGGGGAGGCGAATGAGAAAGTCGGGGGGCGACTCGGTTCAGTGCTGGTAGCTGCTGGTGAGACATTCACAAAAGCGTTCGGAAGGCTAGATGTCGACGTCGGGGAATTTCGGGAGCTTCCTTCGTGCGAAGAGCCGAAGCGGAACGCAGAGGGGTTCTCGTCGTCGCTCACAAAAAGTGAATCATCATTTGTCGAAGTATGTGGTTGAGGAGCGGGAAGAGCAGGGAGACGTTCCGGCAGGAGAGAACTGTCGATCATCTGCAGATTTGCTGCCTCCTTGATGTTGAGCCCAAGAATGATTGCTGGAAGCGTTCTACCTGCGCGCTTCGATTCGACGTATGTGTCCGAAAATGCATGGTCCGAGGATGGCTGAAAGGCTGTAGCGCAAATCGGGTTAGTCGTTAAGTCAAATCAAGTGAGTACCAGAGCTGATAGCCTTAAGATCCAAGCTCCTTAGGATGCGAACTGAGCCCGACGGACGAAGGTATACGGCGAAACAGCTGCCGAGAGTGCACACATACCGACTGAATCCACAGGACGGGTGCCCCAGTTGAGATAAAGATCCCCGTTTGCATTTTCGGCGAACTGGAGGTCTTGCTCTTCGCAAAATTTGATCGTCTGATCATAATCATCGAAGCGAAGAACCGTAGTAAGCTCATCCACTGTCCATTCTTCGTTTTTATGTTGTTGCGATGCTGGATAGCGGCAGTAGGCCTTCCATATCGAGCGGATGGCGGTCTGACGCATATGATTGAAGTAGATTTCGGCGACGCATGCCATTAGGTATGAGACCCCCGGAGAGTCTATCAGGTTGAAGAACCGCATGTAGAAGCCCTGAGCGATAGCGTTGGGACGTTTGGCATCGAGGGTACCCTGGTATTCCCAGGTATTGCTGGCTGCGGCGAAAAGCTCCAGTGCCATCTGAACGCGAGGGGAGCTCCTCAGCTCAACCGGCCATTTCTGAACGCGGGATTCCAAATCAGGTCGTTGATCATGGATCGAGAAAAGAATATAATAAGCTCGGAACTCATCCTCGTTGGGAAACGGGATTCGGCCTCTGTTGTCGTCGTAGTAGTACATTAGCGAAAGCATTGTGTTGTTTAATTGTTCCCGTTCCTGGTGTCGGTCGAAAGGTTCGTCGTTGGCCGGGCTAGAAAGAAGATGTAGGGATACAATGTGGAATCGAGCGATTCGCTCGAGACAAGTCACGGCAATCTTGACATCGTCTTCTTGAGTGAGCTGTTGCACGGAAAAATCATTGCGGATTGAACGAGTCCGGTCCCAAACGAATTTGTGGATCAATCCAAGGGGTTCAGGGCCGTCGAGAACATGCCGAATGAGATAATTCATCGTCTGAAGGAGCGCTTGAGGTGTTCTGATATCGGACGGAAGTTGCGCGTCGTAACCGGCGGCCGATCGTCGAAACCGCTTGAGCATCTTCAATTCCATATTTTGTAAGGTGTTCGTGGCAGGATGCAGGTACTGATCATAGAATAAGCTTTCGGACGCGCAGAACTCGGACAAATGCTATCACCTTTTCGCTCTTGTCGACCATCTTCTGAACAATGCGCTCCACGCGTTCGAATTCTGGACACATGCTTGTACAAGTACCCACAGGCGTAATGGCTTGCTGCAGTGACGTTGGCTGGTTCGGATCTGCCATCTGACCTTCCCGTATAGCCTTCTCTCTTTGCTTCGTCCTATCAAGCTTGAGCTGTTCGAAAGTGAGCATCAGTCAAACTAACCACCGGTGTACAAATCCTAAAGCACAATTTGGACTAACCTGTTCGTAGCGATCCGTATAGCTACTTAGTAGCGCGGCGTCCTCCACGGGGACGGCCGCACTGATCGCTCCATTGATAGGCTGCGCAAATGGTTGCCGTGGTGAGGCGACATTGCCGCCATTTTGAGCACCAGAGAAGCTCGAGGGAATCCCAAACGACACGGGTGATGCTTTTCCGAATCCCGCGAATGGGGAAGGGCTCGGAGACGGCTGCGCAGGAGGGGTGGCGGAGGAAGAAGCCAGCTTCTTCGGCTGTCCGAAAAGCGACGAGGCGACAGTGGCAGGCTCGGCCGGTTGCTCGGCTTGTTTTCTCCAGACGTTATTCCCCGTCCCGGCTCCCCTCCCCTGACCACGTGTGCCTCTTACCGCTGAAGCGCCGCGCCCCCGACCACGAAGCCTGGGGTCGCGTGTCGCGGTGTTGGCCTTAGGTTGATACGGAGTCGAGCGTCCAGATGGTCCACCACGTCCACGACCAGCGGAGCCAGCCGAACCATCTCTCTGGCCGATACCCGAGAAAGGATTCGCTGGGCCGGCCATTCTGCCGCGAGCCAGCGGGATCGTGGACGGGGTATTTCGATTGGTATCGCTCTGGACACGATGAGCAGAGACTTCTCGATGCTATCGTTTAAAGCTCTGGTTGTGATTCCGGGCGCGTTCCTTGTGTTATGAATAGCGTGGTCGGGTAATGAACGGGAAGGAATAGGAGCGAGAACTGTAGAAGCGCTGAATGTTGGAGGAAAACCGCGGAGACGGGTGTGACGGCAGAGTCAGCTGTGGCTCAAGCATAATGGGAGAAGATATGATATAACACTGCGATTGCAAGGCGACGAAAATAAGAAGGAGGAGAGAGATAGCAATTGGACGACGAGTGAATGTTCGTGAACGGGGCAGCTGTGAAATACAAGCGAAACGAACGATAGGCGCGGTACCTTTCGAGTTTTGGGATCCAGGAAGCGATTGGTAGTAGCTGGAAAGTGTGAAGATGAAAGGTCCACAGGTTTTGCGACGATGAGTTGCTGCAAGCGAATGCAAGTGGCGCGGAAATGAGGTGGTGGTGTTCCCGCAACTTCGGAAAGGATGGGCGCTGAGATTCTTGAGACGAACTGAGGGGACGGATGCAGCTGCAAGCTCTTGAGATTCGGCAGGCGACGAGGACGATGTGGGGCGCTGATGGGCGGGCTAGGAGCTGCTGCCCTTCCGAAGGATTGAACGTTTGTTTGATTATAGGAGAGATAGAAAGAGGAGATGGGGGGACTTGCAATCACCTCGAGGGGAGCTCCAGACGGCGGCGGGTGGGACTGCGTCAATGCGCGCCAAGCTCGATCAGACGCAAGCGCTGCTGGCGCGCGGCTAATCGGACACCATTCCCAATGGGAAATCCTCATTCCATCATGATATGGGAGCGAACTACTCCGTAATCATACAGACTCTATACAGTAAATGTCAACAAGGCTGAACTGCTTCTCTGGGAAGACACCCATGGAATAGGGGGACTTTGCTTGCCTCCCCCTCTCCCCACTTCCCACTCTGTCGAAACACAAGTTCACTGCGCGCGCGATAAATGTGTCAAACACAGGGCGTTTGAATGCTATGCTCAATCTAGACCGGTCGCTCATTTCCACCTGGCCTCTGCTTTTTGGTCTCTATTAGAAGCCGGAGATTTTCAAAAGCTACCAGGCTATTAGGCTCTCCGCTGGAGATGAAAGAGGCGGGCGGTGCTCATCCTCGTATTGGGTGGGCGTTGAGCTTCGCTAGTCGGTTCTGTGATGGCAATGTAGTGGTTGCATTGATGCTGTTCTCCATATGCCTGGATATGCTACGTGAGATGGCGCACCCAATACGGCCGGCGCCGCAACTCGCGGCTTTTATCTTCTACACTTTCCAGCCTTGGTGTGTTACCAGAGTTGCTACTCATCAACTAGTACTATCACAGATCGCGAGCATAGATCTAAGAGCAGTAGAACGAAACTGTCCCAAAGAGAATATGATTTAGAGGATCAACAAGTATAGGCTTACATGGCAGGTGGGAACTTACCCTGAATCTTACCATGCAAAGGCCAGGTGACGGACATTCAGAGCAGCCTTTAGGTGCAAGTCCCGGTCAGCCAACTTAGCCAACCACGGCCAGTGATGTAAAATCTGCCTCTCCCTGAAAGAGAGTCAGGAGTCGCATACTAGCCGAGCTTGAGTCTTGGGTACGGGACTTTGAAAGGCATATCATACCGTACTTTAAAAGTATCTGCACTGCCACCCTGGCAAGCAAGAACCATGTTCCACTACCGAAGTTAGGCCATCGAATTCAACCACAGCAATGAGCATCTCTGTCTGTCTGTAGAAGGTTGGTGAAACTAGACATAGTCTCGTGAGTAAGTTACAGACAGACTTGAGTGAAACTCGCTAAGGCAGAGATCCACCGGGCCCTGTGAGCAATGGATCATGATGAACCAGACTACTGGATACCTTATACAAGTAGAACTACAGCAGCCAAAACAGGTAAGAGTCCCTTTCCGCCGCGCTAACACAACTACCTCCGGCGTTTAATCTCGCGGAAGGACTCGATGTCCGAGTGTGCGAAGATCGGGACCTTTTGCAGGATATCGCCCAGGATCTCGGAGCTCCAGTCAATCTCTCCATGCAGGATGGGGGTTGCCCATGGCTCGAAGGTCACCGTGTCATTGGCTCCGGGCTGCAGACGGTAACAAAGGTGGGATCGCGCCAGCAAGAGTTCCAGGTTGTCGGGACGGGGACCCATCTCCTCCAGAATCGAGGGGAGGAAAAGGGGGCCGAGGAGGCTAGCCAGATCGGAGATGCGCTGGTTGACATAGAGCTCGATGCATTGCTGGACGAATTCATTTTGTGGTGCTGAAGCCGTCGGTTCTTGCGCGGGAACGTTGATCAGAATGAGGTATTCGGTCTCCATGAGGCCCTCCATGTCCTTCACCATAAGGCCCACCCATACCCCCAGGAGGGTGGGCCTTAGGTTGGGACATGACCAGGGGTAGTGATGGGATCCAAAATAGATACTGGATGCGTATTATAATAAGCATTAGTTGGAGAATAGGCGTCATAGATTCTTATGGGGAGAGGTGAGTGGATTCGGGCGAAGAAGGAATCTTAAAGGAGTCTATATCTTATTTTCGTTTTCTGCGACAATACCTTCATCATGGGAACATTAAAAGGTACGATGGGATCGGATAGATTATGCATGCCTCAAGCCAACAAGTCGCCAGTAAGCAGCCATGGCATTACTAGCTTTGCGACAAAAGCAGTGCACCGCACCGAGCTTTGTTTGTTCTTTCATGAGGCCAAACCAAGTATGAAAATTCCCAAAATAAGACTCGCTTCTTTGTGTCTACTGCCTCGCACTCATCCTTTTGTCTTTCCTAAACAGAGAATCGCTCGATACATCACTGATCAAAGAACAGAACAAGTACAAGGTGTAGTCAGTAATCCCGAGGGTTCTTTCTTTTTTTCTTCATTTCTCCCTTTTGTTCTTTAGTGATAAAGATAGGTAGTCTTCGTTATCCCTCCTATGGTTCGTACTCCCTTTCCCCCCTTTGACTGAATTCGCAGGGCCCGCTTTTGTACTCCCCCACATCTACTATGTACTGTAACTCTTCTTTTCCCATGAAATTCAGTCTCTGCTCAACGGTCGAGTAGACCGTCTATCGTCCGTTTGCTGTACAGCAGATCAGGTGCCACTGCATCCGGGAAAAAAAATGTTATGTTCAGTACGGGCGATACAACTGCATTTCTTGCTTTTCAAATACAGTACATTGTCATCTTCGGCTATTTTCATCTCTGCTGGGAGGGGTATACTTGTTATATTCTTGTTATGCTGGATTTGTGTTTACCAGCCCACATCGTTCCCTACCCGAACTCATTGAGATACGTGTATAACTCATGCAATTCTTTTTCAAGGGTACCACTATAGGTACAAGAAGAAAGGACGCTGAAACGCTGCGGTCAAGTACCAACCCACCCCTCGCCAAAGTCAAGGAAATAAAAACCAGAGAATAAACAGAATCCAATAAGACGCAAGATACCACCTGCTTCCATGTCCCAAACAAAGACAGGAGCAAAGGAGTTTTAACACGAGCGCCCTTTGCTTTCCCAAAATCTATTCATGTCAATCCCAGCCACCCCACCCAGGGCGTCAACAAAGTCACAAAAGGCAATCCTCACCACCCAACAATTCTAACCCAAGTACACAAGAAGAAAACATAGTGACAACAAAAACCCCAACAAGAAAGAGTAACCCAGTGCTAAAAAAAACACAAGAGAGAGGAAAAGGAGACGGAGAAAAGGAAGTTCATGTTCGTGGCGTGGTCATTTCGTGTGCGGTCTATATTCACAGCTGCTCAGCAGACTGGTGGAGGTTTGGGTGACTCAAGGAGCCGGTCCGGAAGGACATCCTGGAAGGGCTTGCCAGCTCAGGCAGGCCGTGCATCTCTGGCATCGGCATCTGGTAGTGCATAGCTGGTTGTGACATCGGTTGGCTGGTTGCTACCGTGTTGTAGTCGAAGGAGCTGTACAGGGGCTGTTGTCGGTAGGCGGGCGCGGCCCAACTATCGTATGGTCCGACAGAGTGCTGCATGGACATGGTCGTAGGGCGATGGTGTTCTGAGCCGGCGGTAGTAGTGAGAGGAGCAGGGGTCAGGCAGTCAAACGACGAGGCCTGCTCGAGCGGACTGGGCAACTCGCTGCTGGTCGGGGTGTTGATAACCGTGGGCGATGTGTATTCGTTCTTGAAGTCCTCGGAGGCCGAGTAGAAAGACTGGCCCTGTAGTCGATCCGATTCACCGTAGCTCAGCGACTCTGGCAGAGGGAATAGCTGGCCCTGATCCGCTCCCATCGAGATGGCGCGGTGGGAGGGCATACCGACTGGATGATCCATGGCTGTGAATGGAGCAGACAAGTCTTCAATCGAGGATGCTGTTGAAGTGATCACCTCGTTGCACTCGGTCTCTTCCGGTTCGAACTTCTGTTCCGGCTCAGCCACAGCGTCGATTTCCTTCTCGTTGTTCTCCTCCTTCTCTTCCTTGTCATCTCTTGCCTCGACGTACACAATGGTGGTCGCATCTGAGAAGTCTTCGTTAGTCGAGATTCTTCTGACTCACAGAACCCACGAGATTGAATCTTACCAACTTCGCCCATCTGATACCGCACCTCCATCTTGCGAACCCTGAACATTTCATCCAGGATAGCCATCTTTTCGACGGGGATGTGTCTTCTGCAATCATGCGCAACCTCCTGCAAATCTTCTGGAGTGATGCCGTGCTGGCCGAGGTTTCGGATAATGTGGAGAAGAAGCTTGATCCGTTCTAATGCGCAAGAGAGTCAGCCCCAGTGTTCGCGCCGGAGTCAATGCCAACAAACCTACCGTTCTTTCTGAGATGATCAGGCTCTCTGTGGATCACATCAGCCGGCCACCATGCGGGCTTCGTCAACTCCGGATCTCCTTTGGTTCCTGGTGGCGCTCCCGGCCTGGGTCGGCCACCGTTGTATGGGTGCCGCACTTGCTTCCGCGGCTCGAT